GGAGTCCTCCGCTCCGGGTATTTCACTACAAGCAATAGTTCTCCTTTTGCCCCCCTTGGCAAGGCAGGAAGCCCTTACAATACTCCATTTCACCAACCCGGCGTGGCGGAGTGTCAAACTCTGTTTTCACCTCTCTCAAACCCTAAAGAACTTCTCAAGAGCTCTCTCCCTCGGAATCCCTCTCTAACCACGTTCTCCTCTATCAGATTCACACCCTCAAAATATGACAAGTTTTACACATAAAAACGAGCTCCAAAATCCCTGAGATTTCAAAAGTAGCCGTTAATATGGTACAGTACCGTTTCACATCGTACAGTACGATATGTACAAACAGACTTCGTCCTAGTACGAAGTGGTACGAACAGTTCAAAAAACTTCGTACAGTATGAATTTACATCGTACGGTACAATCCATAACAATACTATTCGTACAGGACGATATCCGGGACGATCAAACATCGTCTTTGTTCATCGTATGGTACGATTGACATCGTACAGTACGATGAGACAAAACCAAAGAGATCGTCCAGGACAATCTTCGGGACGATTATAATTCATCTCTGTTCATCGTATTGTACGAATGGGTTCGTACAGTACGATGTTCAAATTATAATAAAGCCCGGATTTCTTGCACTAATCACGGGTTAAATTAAGTAAGTATTTAAAATAAATCGTACAGTACAAATGTGTTCGTACAGTACGAGCGGCACAAAATAACTTACTTAAGTTAAAACGACAGCTAGGGTTTTAGATTTGAGCATATCGTACAGTACGATTACATTCGTACGGTACAATCTGTTCACAGAATCGTCCTACAAAGCTATGATCGTACGGTACGAAATAACATCGTACAGTACGATCTACAGAGAAAGAAAAACTCTAAATTTTTCATTTAAAAACACTCTCCCCCTGTATATGTGCATGATTGCTCAGCCTTCTATGCATTTTGTGGTCAGACTCAAGAAAATAAAAATAAAATAAACAACAAAATACATTGCAGACTCATACTCCTAATCTACCCATTCTTGAGTCTTCCTGTCGTCCTGAGTAGCTTTCGATCTTCCTGAAATGTTAGTACTCACGGACAACAACAAACAAAATAATATTCAATGAATAGATAATTCAAACGACATTATTTGTCATCATCAAAATCTCAAACTCGGGGTCATGAGTTGCAACAATAAAACCAAGGGGGAGTGATCTGAACTAGTAGTAGGAAGGGTGTTGTAATAAGCTTGAGGAAAGGCTTCAAAAAATTCAGCATTCACTAACATCCTGTCCAGTTTTATGTGAATAGGTTGGATGATATGAAGATTTGACCAAATATAAAAGAGACCAACATAAGCAAGGTCTTGAACACCCCCATCAAAGATAAAACTGTTAAGTTCCCCCCAATCTATTAGCCGACAACTCAGAACCTCCAGCTTTTTCATAATCAAAACAACAACAATTAAAGTACCCCAAGATGATCCACGGGTGAAGAGCAAGAGGAACTAAACTCTTAAGATCATGCCATAGGGATTCCCGCTCCTTAACAGTATTCATAGCATAAATCACCGTCATAAAGATAGGGAGAAGAGAACAAAAAAAAAAGAGAACCATGTATCATTTGAGCTGAAGAGAGCAGAGGATAGAATGAAAAAATCGAGTCCCATTTCAACCAGATTCTACCAGTAGTAGAGAGGCTAAAGTTATTATAATTGTACTCATTGTGCAAAATGAGGTGAGAATTAACAAACCAAGAATCCTCAAGAGCAGAAGTGTGAACTTTAGCTTCAAGTATGCAAAGAAACTTTAGACTTTAAGAGGACACCAAATCTCTACAAGCATGGACATTATCTGGGTTGTTAAACCCCCTCACATTCCAACAAGCTATTGGGAGCAGAGACATTGATTAAGATTAGGATGTTCTTGCCTTCCTGACAAATTTCCCTCTGGTTGGCTTTGAAGAAGGGGATGATTGAGCATTCTGTTTTTTATTATGTTTAACAACAGTAGAGGAAGCTGTGTCATCATGTGGCGGAATAGGATCTGTGATAGGCGAAGAGAAAGAATCTTCATCTAGGGAAGCAAACTTATTGTTTGTAATGATGGGTTTAGTGGAGGGAGGAGGAGATGGGATAATGAGATGGACTTGGGAAGTCTATTTGGGGTCGGGATTAGCTGAAGAAGAGGTTTCTTCAATGGTAGAATTAAGATTAGGGATAGTTGGTTCTTCACCATGAGTAGAAACCACCTCAGGAGGAATAGGGGATGAAGAGTCTGCGACTGCTAGAAAAATTGATGGTTGGACTTGTGAGATAGGAATGGTAGGGGGAAGTCGAGGTAGAGTGACTGGAGGATTATCAGGTTGGGTCAGAATTTTCGGGGTGGAGGTAGCAGAAGCAGAGGTACGGTGAGAAGGGCGGCGGCTTCTCCTGCGATCTTTGAAATTAGGGGGAGGGGGAAGTTGTGGTTTAGGGTTGGGATTAGACGGACAGAGAGGGAACTGATGCACTAAAGAACCACAATCTTCACAGCAAGAAGGTTTCCAATCATATAGGACTTGGAGAACGAGATATTCTCTGTCTATTTCTATCGGAATTTCATCTTGAAGAGGCGAGTCTTTATTAATTTGGACACAAACCCTAGCATAAGTCAGCCTAGTCCTTTTGGCTATGGAGAGTCAACATTAATCGATATACCAATATAACTAGCGATCTTAAATATCTCAGATGGAGTCCACATAGCAAGGGGCAAGTCAACGATTTTGATCCAAATGGGGAAGGAGACGGCTTCTTCCTGCCTAGCTTTGAACTTGGGCAACCATTTTTGTAAAATGAATGGTTTCCCATGTAAAAAACAAGGATCACCCGTCCATACCATAGAGTAATCTTCCCAAGAGGTGAACTTGATAAGGAAAAACCCATTAGCTAGGGAGAGTAGAGATATTGAACCTTTCAACTGCCAAACCTTATTCATAGCGGCAAGCAGTCGTTCATAGTATGGGCGCGGACCAAGGGAGTAGCTGACCAAAGACAGCGACCAGAGAGAGGCGCCTTCGGAGAGATCACCAGCAACAAACGAAAGCATCGGTTTAGGTGGAACAAAGGACATCGGGAAGTCCTCAGAAGGGGGAGTGCTGTCGGAGAAATTGTTTGCGTAAGAGCGATCGTGGGAGGGAGCAGGAACTCCAAGAATGGAGGAGCCCAAACGAGGGAAATCAGCCGTATTGAGAGCCATGGGGGGAGGTCCGGGAGAGGGCGACCTCTCCCGGGAAGACGGCAGTGCAGGCAGAGGGGGAGAAGCGCCAAAAACCCTAGCTTATCGAGAGCTCAACTCAATCTACACTATTTATGGACCCCCAATAGTTACTTACAAATTTACTCTTCATAAAAATTCAATGGTACATATGCAAATCCCCGAATAGAAAAAAACAACTTTAAAGGGTAGCCACAAGCATGTGCTATCCATAACCCACGTAAATGAATAGGACAGACATCAAGGACCCGCCATCATATAAATTCTAATTTGGAAAAGTATCACATCAAACAGCAAGAGAACTGAGCTTTGCTTCCTGTCAATATATATTTATTGAATGGGGGACCATTAGGCAGCTTGTCCCTGGAACCAAAAGAGTGTACAGCCACTCTTACTATTCCTTTAGAAAAAGCTAACCAGATAAGGTGAAATAACTTTTTTGAATCCAATGAAATCATCTAATATAATAAAAATTTGATCCTCAAATTAAATAGAGGAATTGCAACTTATTTAGCAGATGGTTTGATACTCATGGCTTGTTTGGGACAATTTTTTTACTACTTAAAACAACATTTAATATACAAATTAAGAAGCAGTAAAAAAAAAAACTATCCAAAACGAAGCCTTACCCTTTACGAAAACAATGAATGGAGCTATGAGCAAGCAAATGTAGGAAGAAAAAAGACTACTATTGTTAAAACTAAGGCTTATTTGGAATGCCGTGCTTCCTGTTTTTTGAAACAATTTCTTAGTATAATATTTTTTTAATTTAAAAAAGTTTTGTACTTAAAAATTGTTTTAGAAATAAGTAAAAAAGATATGCTAAGGTTTCATTTAGGATAACTTTTTTGCTTCTTTTTAATGCAACTTTATAATATAAAATTTTTTTGAAAGCAGTGAAAAAATAATGATTAAAAGTTGCACCAAACAAAAACTAAGACCAATATATAGCTTATTCACATAAATTGTAAACAAGGCAATCACCCAATGGCCCAAAAATATTTTTCCTGATATTTTATTTTATTTCATAGTTTATCGAAATGCTCTCCACAATAATCAAAAGAAAATGGAGTGTAATAGGAGATTGTTGGGTGTAAGAGAAAAAGTTTCAAAGCATCTCTAATTTTTGAAATTGCAAGCAACACTACAAAGAAATTATGAAATATTTGCAAAAATTACAAAAAAAAAAAGCATGTTCTTCTAATCTTCTTTCAAAATACCTAACCAAGTTTTATTTTTACTTATTACAATTACAAAACAAAGCAAAATTATAACGAATTGTATACTAACTTTTCTTTTGTATCAACTAGCATTGCTCCATAGCCTGTATTAATCCTGTAAATGAGTAAAAAACTATTTAGGTTCATTTCAATTTGTACACAAAACAATACAGAACTAGCTTAGTGTATTAGTTCCATTTAAGAAAGAAAAGAAAGCATTGCAGACTAATTAAACAGCACCCTGCCTAATTAAAAATTGCTAATGCCATATTTATGAAGATAAAACCATGAGGGAGAAAGTTACAACTGACACTAAAGTGTTTATTACTTGGTACATACTTATTCACACAAATCATAATCCACAAATTTACCTCAACACTTGCAAAAACATGAACGGAACAATCGTATGATACAAATCCACCAAAATCTATAGAATATAACTTATTATCATACAAAACAATTCCTATAATTTAGATTAGTAAATAGCATTAGCTATTCAATAGGTGAGAGAGAGGATTGCTTACAAAACACCTCACCTAGCGGGGCGAACATCATCTGCAAAAATTACAAATGAGCGTCTACTTTGCTTTGCTTTGTTCTGAATCATCCAGCACAAACTCAGCATACAGGTTCTTCATAGCAATGACAATAGTCATTATCAAAGGGCCCATTATTGCTCCCTGTTGATTGAAACAGCAAAAAACATGGTTGAGTTCAGGATTGGTGCAGAGAATATAATAGCTGAATCTTCAGTTTCCCAAAAGCCACATGAACAGTTCTGAGATATGGGCATATTTAAGTATGACTAAAAAGTATTATCATCTCAGTGCCATACCATCCAAACTTTATGTAAGCTTTACAGGGCAACATAATGAGAAATTATTCCGTGCGGAATCCAGATGGTAAGGAACCGTCCCGATGTGAATGTACACAGTATTTATATACACTGTGTACACTCACATATGTCGGTAACTTACCGTCCGGACTCCGCACGGAATAATTTCTCCAACATAACACGCTCTACTTCAAGAATAATACAAAATAAAAAGGTTTTGCAAGAGAATAACTGACACAATTCTCTGTTTTCTAAGCAACTAAAGTATACATTCCGTTAAAAAAAAAAAAAACCCAGAAAAGCACACAAAGGTCTGCTTAGCTACGTAGGTAGGAACTCCATACTTTGAATGCCCAAATTGATCATAATACAGTGAGAATGTGAAACTAGCAAGTTACTGCAACAAGCTTTCACCCCAACATAATGGTTCACAGCTAATTGCTCCGGAAAGAAAAAACAAATACACAATAGGAATATATATCCTAGTCATACAAATTTGCAATACCAATATGTTCTCAAATATCGGTTATAAAGAACAATTTGAAAAGGCATCTGATAACAAGATAAGCAAGAGTAGAACTTTACCTCTAAAGCATTGGGGAACAATGTCATGCCGCCAAGGATGCTCAGACCAGTAAGATAAGCATTATATCCCGGGATATCCTCTTGAATGACTGAAGTTCCATAATCCAACAGCATAAGGTGCACCACAGTCAATCCAATTGCCCAGATATACCTCCCTTCCATTAAGAGCTCGACAGCAGCAGGGATTGATGATATCCAAGGTGGTAATAAAGGAAGCAATGCACTAATGAAGGCTAACAAAGTCGACATGTACACAAAATGTATGGAGCAGAAGCGGAACAGAAGCCAAGTTAGGCAACCTTGAAAGATGGCAATTTTAACAGTGACCAATAGAACACTACTAATTGCATGGTTGATCACCTCAACACATCTATCTCTTGCTGTTTTTGTGATAGGAAGCATGCCCATGACTTGTTCTGTCGCCCCGCCGGACTCCGAGGTGATGAGATAGTACAAAACCCAGAGAAAGACCATCAACTGGGAGACAAAATTCAATACTTCTGCTGCACCAGAAACAATTGCCAGAACAACAGAAAACATCAAGTTTGCGCTCCCACCAAGAACCGAAGTGCCACTAGCCAACACTTGTTTTGCCACTTCCATGCCCTGGAAAGCAAACCCCTTAGCCTTCTCAATCAAATCCACTCTGGTGGCCATCAATTCCTGAAAGATGGAAACCACATCCGAATAAATTGCCCCCCACTCACGATTCTTAGTATGAACGCTCAACGTTTGGAACTGCACAGTGTACGGGTGCGGCGAAGAGCCTGCAAGTGATGTTGAAATATCTACAGATAGATTTCCCGGCTGGGAAATCATAAAATGTCGCAACCCATTAACAAATTCCGTCAAATTATACTGCGCTCCCAGATTATCAAGATGTTCCCATACAGTCTCATACAATTGAGCAGAATACTTATCAACAAGACCAGGTACATCATTCTCATTAACCCACTGCTTGAATCCGATCTTTTCTGCATAGTTGCTAGTCTCCATGTGGGATTTAAGGGACATGACAGCATCCTTACCCTCAAGACCAATCTTATAGGAAAAGAAAGCACCCCCAGCGATGAACCCTAGGATCATTCCAGCGATCAGCCCAATCGCGATGATGGTTTTCAGATTCCTAAGTATCCCTGCGGTGAGAAAGCTGGAGCCGTGTTTGGATTGCCGGCCGGCATTGAAGCTAGCGTATCGAACGGCGGAGGCCGTAGGCCCGGCCAGGAAAAGCCCGGCGGTAAGAAGAGCAAGCGAAACCGGACCGAGCCGTTCGAAGGACACGAGGAAGAGCCAGAAACAGGCGAGCCAACGGAGGAGCCGATTGAAACCAAATCGGCTGTTGAGGGTGCGGCGGAAGAGGAGAGAGCGGACGTCAGTGAGAGTGTCGGCGGAGGCGCGGAATATGGCGGCTGGGGCAGCGAGGCAGGTCGGCACGAGACCATGGCGGAGTGGATCGGACCAGAAGGAGAAGAGTACTTCCTGGATCTCGCGAAGGGGGATAGAGCAGAGAACAGCCCATTGGAGCGGCCGGATAAAATCATGGAGGAGACGGTAGAGACCGTAGAGAAGGAGAAGGGAGAAGGCAAGGCCTGCGTGGGCCATCGAGATATAGAGGGAGAGGCGTACCTCGTTGACAGACGATTGGGCAGAGGCAGTGGCGCATGCTCCCGCGATGGGGGGTTGGCGGGGAGGCGGGGAGGGCTGTCGAGAGGAAGGAATGGAGTCTGGCGGTCGGCGAAGGGAGGCGGAATGGAACATCTCCGACCATGGGGGGCTGACAGAGTTAGACGTTGGCTTAGGGTTTGGGGAAGAGGAGTAAGGGACGAGCTCCATTAGGCGGAGGAGAAGAAGATACAGGAGAGCGGGAATAATGGTGGAGTAGACTTCGAGGATTAGAGGAAATAATCATTAGGATTAATTTGCATAAACCCTCCCGAAATCTCTAAAATTTCAATTCTGTCATGAATTTTTTTATTTTTAATTCTTATTGTCTTCTTCTTCAAAAAAAAAAAAAAACTATGCGCTGTGAAATATGATTAGATAAGTTGTATTAAACCAGTAGATTCCAACCTAAGGGTGATAAATTATTGAGTTCAACTCTCAAATTGGCGAGTTCCCCTAATTCTTCGTGACATAAATTTTTTAAATTCTTTCGAAATGATTTCCTCAATTCCTCGTGTCTTCAAACTATGATTGTAAGCAAATTTCGGTACTTTCAACTATTGTTGCCCAACTATAATCCTTTCATCCTCTATATCATTTGTCGACTATGATCCCTTCAATATCTATTGCCCAAGTACTATCCTACGAGTTCGATGAATAGACCAACACTCTCTTGAGTATAGCTCTCATGTCATTGGGTTCTTCCATCCATGTAAAGTGCTTTATACGATGTATATGTGTTATATTGAACCGAATCCTTCCCTCGATGAAGGGCATCATTTGTAATCAATTATAAATATTAGTGGATTCATTCAAATAGGTCATGGTCATATGGCTTTCCCCCTTTTTAGGGGTTTCCATGTAAAAACTCTAGTGTCTCCTATGATTGTTTCACCTCTCTCTCTTATATGTTTGTACGTTGGATTTTCATATAAAACAAAAACTCTAAACTCTATATCTCTCTACCACTATAAATATTGTATGATGCATAAATAAGTAAAAAAATTAGTTGAAATACTTTACTTTATGACCAAGAATAATCTTCTTCATACATTTCAATTTTTGTCCCATTACTTGTATTGGAATTATTTCATCTCCTTCTTCCTCCATTTATGCTTTATTAATATGTCATTCAAGATCAAGGAGGAAGAATGCTTTGAGTTGGTTTGAGTGAATAAGCTCCTTAACAAGATTTTGAAGATGATGAAAATATTAAGTATCATGATCCTTATGAAGATAAAATAATTGGACGATTTATGAGTATACCGTAACACGTATATTTGAGATGGTCAATGAAAGAACTCCTTAAGAAGTTTTGTTAGTAGGACACACAAAGAAGTAAGACTTTGGATATTTGTGCGGAGGAGAATTTTCTCCCTACAAGAGATTCTAAGTTGACATACTTTTTTCTTGTCTCTCAAGATGGTTGATCTTTGTTGACTCCATTTTTTATATTAGTGAAAGCTGTAATGATTATTTTACTTCATAGTTTAGTCATTATAATCTTCACATGGCTTGTTTTACTAATCATAAAGTTGTCTTATAGGATCATACAAAAGTTTAAAGTTGCATAATCTATAGGTTGAAGCCATGATTGAATAGTTGTACAATTTCCTTTGACATGAGTATTAAGTATGTTGAAACAACTAGGCTAATATTTTTGCCAGTTGAAAGTTGAGTTCCATATCTAAATGGCCAATCATGAAATTCTCAAGTGAAAGTCACTTAAGTTATAATAAGCTCCAAGTAGTGAACATTTATCCTCTCTTATTGGAAGTGGGTGATGAGTCGACAACATTACACATTAAATTCTTTCATTTAGGAGAGCCTGAGAATTCTTTATGGACTTTATCTATTTATAAAATGGGTGATGAAGTAGTATGTCAAGTCTTATTAGCTTGTGATACTCCCTAGAGGAACCTTTTAGAACCACTATAGTGGTGCATCTTTATAAGATTTAGTAACATCGTTATTTTTATACTTACTTTGAAAATAGTAACATCGTTATTTTAATCTATTTTTTCATTATAGGAATCAATTGACAATTTTTGAAAACTCTATCACTATATTTAATACAAAGAAAAGACTTAATATGTATGTTCCTATTTTTTGTCAATATCAACCATCGATTAATACGAGCAATAAAAAATCTAATAATAAATTCAATATGATCAATGAAATCAAAAGAAATCTATCAAAATATAAGACATATGATAAAGAGTTCTATATCAAACTATAAAAAAAATGGTAAAGAGAACTATCATCCAATGAGTCATATTAGTATTATATACTATGTTGTATCAATATCAATGCCAGTATGATTTTAATTCTATTTATCAACCAGTTTGAGTTACTATCATATAAATACAATCAATAATGCAATAGTTTTAATGTGGTGTTTTCATCCTTTTAACCCAATTGTTGCCCAGTTGTGCGTCAGTCTTAATCTAAATCTAATAATCAATTATTTGGTATCGGTCAACCCTAATTATCGTTTAATTTTATATCAGTCTTAATTTAATTTCAACTATCAATTAATTGGTATAAATATTTATCTTCCAAGTTAATCACCAACCACCCTCCCTTACTTACATGCAAATGTTATATTTGTATCAATATCTTGTATGAAATATAATAATTTATAAAATATAGGAAAATATATCAAATTAATATATTATGCATTTACTTCAAAAAATCATGACTTCCAATTTTACAAATGAAAATTTGATACATTCTTGTCAAAATGCTCATATTGATGACATATATCAGATACTAAAAGTTATGTGGTAAAACTTTACTAAAATCAAGATATCGTAATTTTTTTAAGTTTTGACCAAATCAAAATATCTAAAACATAAAATACACAAAAATATTGAAATTAAAAATAGGATAATCGTTCCTTAAAACAAGACGAACAACTTTTATAATAGGACGTACTAGCAAAATCAGTTAAAGATCCCAACTTCTCTTTTCCTCGCCCTCTCTTATTTCTCTTAAACTTCCTTTGTGCTTTATGTTTAACCATATGAATATGGAAGATGGCTTATTTAATAAATAATAAGTGATTTTAGATATTTAGAATAAATAATAATAATAATAATAATAATAATAATATAAAGATAATTACATCATTATTTAATTTATAATGAATAATTCTTTTAATTTTATTTAACTTCCAATTTATAAATTATAAATTATAAAAAAATATTCATAAAATATCCCACCATGTTTAGAAACCATTAGTGAAATTAGTTTGTAAAATGGGCTCTTAACAGATCCAAAACTCCCACTTATGTCGATAGGTGTCAATTTCTTAAAAAATTTACACCAATATTCAAAAATTAGAAAATATTAGTGTAATTAAAGCATTTTAATATATATGTCATAAAAAAAGTCAACTTGTAATTAGACTTATAATAACTCTTTAAAATTTTTTATTTATTTGGGTCAAAACATAGACTATTACAGCTCATACCTAAGATATGTAATTTATGCATGATGATTAAGGTTGATGTATATGATTGGCTTCATAAATTTGAAAATTCAAAGAATATTTATTGAGTTCTATGGGGCTCCTCATGTAGCAGATGAGTATAGCTAGCAATTGTCCCAAATGTCAAAATTTTGGGCTAGTTCTAAGTTCAAGGTGAGTACCCTTTAACAAGTCATTCTAGTGAAAATTCCTAATCAACAACTATGTAATATTGGATAAATAATCAAGTTCTTTAAACAAGTATCATATGCGAGTTTGATCTTTGATGGTGAGTTGAATATTTCGATACGAGGGTTAAATTAGGGTTATCTTTTACTAGTAATGGAATCAAGTAAAGCTCTAGGTATGCTAATATTATCAAGTTTATTCAAGAGGCTAAATCAAGTGGTAATTCGTACTTCGAAGCTCGTCATTTTATCAAAAATTTTAATCATGTAATTTTCAATTGTATAGATAGAAGTGGTAATAAGTTAGCAGACTTATGTGCTAACTATGCTCTTCTTAGCTCTTTTATTTAGAATGATATTAGTGTGAATAAGGTTCCTCCTCATTTATGACTTTGTTTAAAGGAGGAATCCAATGTTCTTAGTTTGTAGTTTGTTTTTGTTCTTTTTATTACTTAATGCAATTTGATGTATTTTCTTCAAAAAAAAAAAAAGAAAAGCTCTAGGTGATTCTCGTCCTTGTAGTTTTGAGAAAATTATATGTAGTCACACATAATATAAAAAAATAACCTTGAATTCTATTGCATCCAATATGAAAGTTTAATGGATGGTTGAGAACAAAACTTAACTTAGAGATTGATCACATAAAAGGAGGGAGATGGATTAGTGTTTCAAAAAAAAATTCAAAACCTTTTTTAGTTTTTTAATTAAATAAACCAAATTCATAATCATATATACGGAAACAACTAATAAAAATAAATACTAATATTTTTTTTGTTTTTAATTTTTTAGAAAAATAAATAATATCATTTTTCTTCTCACTTTTATGAATTTTTTAATTCAAACCAACCAAGATGATTTTTGTGTCATGACAACAATCAAAGCCAAACCAAATAACAAAAAGTGAATGTGCAAAAAATAAAGTGCATAAAATAAATCGTAGAAAAAAAGAATAAACAAGGTAGATTTGTATATTAGTTCGATCAACTTGACCTACGTCCACTCCCTAAAATATCGTCCTCTTTAGGTATTGCACAAAATTCTTAATGACTCTTCTTCAACACTCATGGCTAAGTGAAGAAGTCCTTATAAAATCACTTCCACCTCCTTGGCATAACTAAGAACTAAAATCACTTTCACCCTCATGGTGAGGCGGAGTAGCCCAAATCACTTTCATCCTCTTAGTGAAGTGGAGTAGCTCGAATTACTTTCACCCTCCTGGGAGGCGGAGTAGCTTGAATCACTTTCTCCTTCCATGGTGCGATGGAGTAGGCAATGGCTCTTTGACATAAAAGGCTTCTTCACGGATCTTTCTATAAGATGAACCTCAATACATGGAGGAATTTTGTTGTAAGTTAACTAGGCAATCGTGCAAAACTCCCTCTTACAGTCCTTTGAACCCTCAAAGGTTCTTCTCCCTCTCTCACAACTTCACCATTTCTCTCCTTTGCTCAAAACCCTCTCTTTAAGCTCTCACTTATAGAATACTAAATCCTTTGACTGCCAAAAACTTCTACAAAGTCTATTAAGAAAGCTTAAATAATGGGATTCCAAAAATCTTTA